TAAGAATACATTTAGAAGAGTATACTGCAAAATTCTAAAAATCAAATAGTAAATTAGATATAAATTTGAATAACTTATGCCAACATATCTAAACTTAGCATATATATTGATTTGAATTAAATATTCGGATAGATAATCAATAGATATTTCAAGTGTCTTTTCATATTTTGAGTATTTTTTATCTATCTGAGACATTTTTTTTATTATATATATTTTCAAAGTATTTTAGACAATTTCTAAATATCGTATATATTTTATACTTATATATATAATAAATCTAAAAGTAATTGATAATTGTATGTATATAATCTTTCAGATACATTCGAACATCCAAAATATTTCGGTTTTGGTCGGGTTCGGTTCTAATTCCTTAAATACCAAAATTTTGATTATATTTCATATGTAATATCAATTTGTTTTTTGCCAATTTTTAAAATAACTAAGTTGTACCAGTTGTCCTGCTAATACAAGTATTGTATATAATGGAAAGTAATATCAGTTTTACAAGTAGACAAATGAACGATACAACTATCATTTTTAAAACATGATACACCATTAAAATGTAAAAACATATAGTTGTACCAGTTTTTAGTGTACGTAGTTATACCGGAATTTGGGTTGTACAAGTTTGTACATAGTTGTATTTTGATAGTAAAATTGAAAATTATAGTTGTACCACATAATAAATAAATTCACTTGAGTTGTATCACCTTTATATGTTTACTTACTTGGTATTACATGTTATAGAATCATTAATTTTGTTAAAATGTATTTGGTATATGTTTTTTAAAAGTATAGTGGCTAAATAGGTTTAAAGTATATGGCGGAACATAGAAGCTTCTGTGAAAATGATATAATTATCAAAAAAATATTTAAAAAATAAAATAGTTTGGGAAAACCATTCTAAACACATACCAGTTTGGTCTGTTGATTGTTTTTCATATAGAAAATCAAATGATTTGTTTAAAAAATTAAAATGAAAGAGTAGAACTAGCTAGTTGTACCGATATTACATGTTTGGTATAGAATACAAAGTTGTACGAGTATTACATATCTAATATAACAAAGTTGTACCAGTAATACCAATTTTTTATATGTTTAGTTACACATAATTATACTAATGTTTTAGTTGTATCAGATTACGTGTAGTTGTATTCTAACTGTAAAATTGATATAATTAAAGATGTATTACTTGTATAATCTTCAATAATCCGCTCATACTCTAATTTCATGATTTAACCTATAATAAAATCATATTAAACTTGAATTATATAATGATTAATATTTAATAAGGTCTTATAGTTCATAGTTAAAAAGTTTGGGGAGAAATCACAACAAAATTTGTTAACTAGAAAATTTGGTATTAAAATTAAGAGAAGCAAGAAACCTAAAGACCAAAGACATAAATAATGAAGAATTGGTCACAGAGACACCGTACATCGATCCGCATCGATCACTGTCAACACATGATCGAACAACAATTGAAAGATTAGCGGAGTCGGTGGCGAGGATTTAAGGTCACAACGACAACTTTCAATAGGAGAAACAGCAGCAGTGTGTTGTGATTCGTCGACTTAATGAAAACCATGGGTCGGGATCAGTGGCGGAGCCAGGAATTATTTCTACTGGGGTCAGAAAAAAAACTAATAATGTATAAATAGCCAAAAAACCACAAATGTATCATAAAAAAAATTACAAATGTACTCTACGCTCACTCATAGTTTGAAATCGTTTTATAACGGTTTCATTAGCTACATCTTCAAATATTTTTTTTTCAATAAAACAAATAAGACAATCACTTAGAAACTGATCACCGATGCGATTTCGTAATACTGTCTTGACGATCTTCATTCCTGAAAAACATCTCTCAACGGTTGCAGTAGCAACAGGCAAAGTCAAAGATAACTTCAAAAGCCTATACACCAAAGGTTGAGAAAGATGTTTTTTGGTTTCTACCATCAGTCGCGATAGATCTCCAAGATGTTTCAAATCAGAAAACCTTTCATCTTCTAGTACATTATCAGTATAAATGTCAAGTTGTTGTTTAAGTGATGTGCACTCCACAACATTAAAATCCTCAGGATAGAATTTAGTCAGTCTCAATAACTTTTCTTTATCAAACTCACGGAATAAATCAATAGGACTTAAAGCTGATGTGCAAACGTTTAACTCAGAGTTTACCTCGTTAAAGCGACCATTAAACTCTTGAAGCTCCATATCCAATACTGTATAAAAACAATTGACTTGATAATGATGCAAGTTGGTAACGTTGGTCTTTTTGTATGGCCTCCTTGGATCGATGAAATCGTCCTCCATGTTGAGAAGATCAGTGTCATGTTTCTCACAAAAAGATGAAACGTCATTCACAAAAGATGTCCAGCCATCATCTCTAAAATTTTGTAGCTGTCGCTTAGTAGATACTACTAATGAAACAGCATTTACGATGTCTTGATCTTTTAGTTGCAAAGCCAGTGACAAATTCTCTGTAAGTCCCAAAATGTGCACCATCAAGTGTAGGTAGAATACACAATCAAAAGTATGGATATATTTGAGAAGACCATTTGCTTGACTTCGCTGGGTAGGATCAGCACCTTCATTCTCGACGTACACAAGTATCTCATCCACATAAGAAAACATCCCAACTAACCGCAACAATGTTTTTTAATGAGAACCCCAACGTGTACTTCCTGGTCTTGGAAGTGTAGACTCCTGATTTAGTCATTTTCCAGTCTTGATCTCACCACTACTTATTCCCTTTTCAATAATATCCCTCTGAATTTCTCGCATCTTATCTTTCCTTTTACAAGAAGCTGCAACCACATTCACTAACAAAGAAATCTTATCAAAGAAATCTCTAACTTCAAATTGTTTCTTTGCGACTGCAACAACTACCAATTGTATAAGTTGGTGAACAAAACAGTGTACATAGTATGCCGAACTATTTTCTTTTGAAATCAGTGCTCTAAGACCATTAAATTCACCTCTCATATTTCCTGCTCCATCATAGCCTTGTTCTCTCACCTTTTTCAGACTCAGACTATATCTAGCAAGCAATGAATCAATTCCAGATTTCAAAGATAAAGAACATGTATCCTTCACATTGATAAGACCAACAGATCTCTCTTTTACCATACCATGTTTATCGACAAAACAAAAAACTATAGCCATTTGCTCTTTCATAGAACAATCAGCTGATTCATCCACCAATAAAGCAAACACATCATCGTCCATCTCTTGAACGATGGATTTAATTACTTCTTCCGAAAAGCAATTAACAATATCTTTTTGAATAGGATGAGATACCATTTGATTGTTTCCAGGAGCATTCTTCAGCACAACTTTGCTTACAGCTTCATTTTGTGCAGCAGTATATTTCACTAACTCCAAAAAATTTCCTTTGCTGCTAGAATCTGCTGTCTCATCATGAGCACGAGACGGTAACCCTTGTTTCAATAAGTATCTAGCAGCATCGACTGAAGCAGTTAGTCGAATACGATACTCTTTTTTTGCAGCATCAGTTTGCTTTTGAAAAGCATGTTTGATTGACTGGCCTTGTCTCATCAAATCTTCACACTTCTTCTTGGCTATGTTGTGAAAGTTATTTATCGCACCTACATGTCCAGCCAATCTGTCAGACTTGTTCCAACCATCAAATCCCTTCGTGACAAATCCAACACTTCCACTTTTTTTCTCGTTGCTGAATAAATAACAAAAGAAACAATATGCTTTTCCTTTCTTCACACTGTATTCTAACCAATCACCATACTGATTAAACCAAGAAGGATTAAACCGTCTCAATGCACCTGAGATAACTTTTTGCTTAAAATTATGTCCACGAGGTTGACAAGGTCCTCTAGTCAAGTACTTGCGTCTCACTTCGTCTATTTGATTATTGTCATACTCATGAATCCCTTTTCTTTCTCCTGGATCATGTGGCATATCGTCTAGAGAAATATCATCGGTTGATGGAAATTTTCGCTTCAGATTTAGAAATCGTTCCATTTATCTATTAGATAAGAAAAATAGTCATTTTCTAAATATAAAACTGACATTTAAAAATATTGAAATCATGAACATAAACTAATAATATAACAAAAGCTCAGAATACAACAAAAAATATATTAAAAACAAACCTGTCGAAGAAGATGCAGTCCCGCCGCCGTCGTCTTGCCGAGAAGAAGAGAGACAGGTTTTTTTTCTTTTTTAAGTTTGTTTACTTTTTAATGTTTCTATATTTTTAACTATTGGGCTTAACATCATTTGGGCTTAAGCTAATATATTACCAAATTTTAAAATAAACAAAACATCTTATATTTTTTGTAACTACAGAAAAGAAAATTAAGATTAAAATTGATATAAATTCAAAGTTTTTAAAAAAAAAAACATATTGTTTGTATAATTAAATGTTGCCTTTCATATTTTGTAATTATTTCTGTGGGGTCAAATTTATTTTTTAAATAGGATCAAATACAAATTTTATCAAAAAAAATAAAATAAAAATTTAAAAGTAGTGGGGTCAGCTGACCCCCCACCTCATTGCTTGCCTCCACCCCTGGTCGGGATCTCACGTCGACTGCATCTGTGATGGAGGAAGAGCTCGCCTATGGTTGCAGAGCACATACACGGGCAGAACTGAAGCGTGGACCAAAGCTCGTGTTTCTGTTGTCGGTGTTGTCACCGTCACAAGGTTGAAGACGTCGGAGAAGAAGAAGCAGAAGAAATATCATACGCCAAATCAATTTCTTTTATATTTATTTTATCAAGGGTAAAGAAGTAAATTAACATATATTGGGTTATATAGATTATTTTAGGTTGTAGTAGAATAAATAATGAGGGTTATGTCCTATTTAAGATTAATGTCCAAATTTACTAGGCTATACAAAGACCTTAATCGTGTTACTTGTTTTCTAATCTAAACGGGCCGTTTCAATGATTTAAAAGATTTCCTTTTTATCTGTTGCTTTTTAGAGCCACGTGATGGCTTTCGCATTCTTCTTGTGGTTGGCGCGAACCCGACTCAAAATCAGTCAACGTGGCCAAATTTAAACGGGTCGTTTCGGAAATATATTCCAAAACCACTTGATTTCTGAGCCCACGACGATGGAGGCGTCTTCTTCTTCTCTGTGTCTGGTTCCATCTTTGTGGACCGTTGGATCAGAACCTCGTCAGAAGAAATCGACGGTTAGTTTAGTTTCTCGGGGAAGAAGCAACGGTTTGATGATCAGTAACCGACGGCTCAAAACGCCGTCAGCTCTAGGTGAACTCGCTGACACGGTGGCGGAGACAGGCAAATCGGAGATTACGTGGCAAATCATAGTTGGAGCTGTCGGTAATTAACATAATTTAACTGGTCGTAGTTATTAATCATGAAAATCGATTCCAAGTACATCTAATGATTATTTCTAATGAATGGATGCTGCAGCTGGAGTCACACCTTTCGTTGTTGCAGGTGTCGAATTCAGCAAAAGAATAGTATGTGTCTATGTGACCTAAGATTAAAGTATTCATACATTATACAACAGACATGTGACATGTGTGCCAGTGTCCATTGTAAATTTGTAATTTTTAATTTGAGATTTTGGTTTCAGATTGAACAGAAGAGATGTGAAGAATGCAGAGGAACAGGACTTGTTTTTAGAGACAAGAAGTACTTTCGTTGTCCGGGATGTGGTAAAACTTCAGTTTATGTCTTTCTTTTACGTTTTGAGAAGACAGTTAATCCAAGAAGCTTTAGTGATTTTGGAGCTTGTTTGCAGGTGGGTTTCTTCCATGGCAGTCATGGAGAAGATTCTTTACAGGCTGATGATCTCTGCATATATGAAAGCTAAGGGGATAGAGAAAGAGGTTCTCTGTTACGATTAAATGATCTTGTGTATATTTACAACTCGTTCTCCTGATTTTCTTTTCTTACAAATCAAACAAATATGGTGGGGGATAAATTAAAATCAAGACCAATATTTCCCTCTCTCTATATCCTAATGTGTCATGATATACATACATATAGATAGGTAGATCGTAGATAACAAAGAACAACTTGTTCCATTCTTAAAGTAAGAAGAATCAAGATAAAGAATGGAAGCAACTAGCCTTTGATTTTTGTTGTTGTTGTGGTGTGTTACTGTGGTTGGCTTGTTGAGATGACAGAGACGGTACTTCTATGAGATCGTCTTGATACTTTGTTAGGCATCGTTACGTTATATATTTGTTGATTCATTCAATAAAAGGAGAAGATCGGAGTTTACAGAGGAGTTCCGAACAAACAACGATCATAACATGATCTTAGCCTTTACTTGCTCAAACAATATGGAATCTCCTTTGAAAGATGCAATTGAATAATTTCTCTGGCCTAATCAACTTAAGGGTTAATTTATGTTTTGTGTTTGAATGTCCAAATCTGTATCTCCATCAACGTCCAATCCCGTATCAATGAGCCTAATTTTTTTTTTTTGATTTTTATTTAGAATTATGTTAAATCATGACACATATCAATCACTTATGAGTAATCAAGTTTAAGTGTAATGTTTACATGTGGGGACTTTATATGCGTATGAAGAGCTTTCCTAGTCCAACTTGTTTTTGGTCTTGATCACCCCCAAGTCTCCCCAAAACTTGTAACGTTTGTTCACGAAGAAGTTGATCTAATGGGAATCCAAGGCTTTTTTTTTTTTGAGAAAGGGTTTGCAGGAAACCAAAGCTTCCTTTAGCGGTTTATGGACTTGCTAGTTGCTACATCAATTATCAGCATATTCGACTCTCTAGAGGGCCGGTCTCCAGCTCGTGGATTTGTTGAGCGTGTTACTTTTGGACCCTTGGTTTTGGGTTGGTTGACAAATATATTACTGTTGATGATGCAGAAGTTGAGAGTGTTGTTTCATGGCCGCTATGGTTAGCTACTAATGGGTTTAAACCAGTGGAACTCAGCTTTGCCAACCGTTGTGAAGCGAAGCTCTTTTTGAGTTTGTTTAACGATGGTTATGGAATGGAAGAATTAGGCCAAAACGAAAACGGGATGGAAATCTCGACATCTTGTGTCGGCCCTCTTTTTGGGCCTCGTGCGAGTAGAGTGAATAAGATTCTATACATATAATACATATATGAGTGGTATGGTATATGAAGACATCAGTTATGTAAATATCAAAAATCCTTTTTGTCAGCAATATTTATGTTAGACCACGGATCAACATAACTAAAAGTGGTTTTTAAACCCTTACAACATTTATATATATACTAAGGTGATTTTCCCGTGCTCATGCACAGGTATAAACATTCATAAAAGTAAAATTTTATAATAATTAATTGATATTTAGTTTTAGTTTTAAATCAATTTATATTTATAATTTATATTAATATATTATATTATTCTAACTATACATATGACTTTGGATATATTATTTTCGATTTAATTATTTTTTGGATTAATAGTCGGTTTATATATCAATTTGGTATATTGAATAATATCTATTTTTCGAGTTCAGCTATAATATTTTTATTCTAAATATAATAAAACTTTGATTAATTTTCTTATTTCATTTCGGTTCGTTATTGTCTTAGATATGTAAATATATTCTTAGATATGTAAATATACTATGGTTAAATTATGTATAACTTAATATATATGTGCTTAAAATAAATAAATAATAAGTTGAAGTGCTTGATTCAAAATTACATAAATGAATATAATGATAATATTTTTAAGTCTCATGCATATATATAAATTCTACAAAAGAATTAAATTGTAATTGGTTAATATTTTCTTTTTCTTTTTAATATGCTTTGAGTCAACCTCTAATTTATATGTATAAAATTAAATATATTATTATTANAATAATAAGTTGAAGTGCTTGATTCAAAATTACATAAATGAATATAATGATAATATTTTTAAGTCTCATGCATATATATAAATTCTACAAAAGAATTAAATTGTAATTGGTTAATATTTTCTTTTTCTTTTTAATATGCTTTGAGTCAACCTCTAATTTATATGTATAAAATTAAATATATTATTATTATAAATTATATATCTTCTTATTGTAGTTATATATTTAATTTGGATATAAATTAGATTAGCCGATTCATTCATTTTGTGAGTATATTGAGTTAAATATATTTTTAAATTAAAATTGAAGTATAATTACTTTTTATTTTAGTTAAGTCAACAAATTAGTTTTATGTATCACTTAAATATACATGTATTTTCATAATATTTATTTACTCTTTATTTTAGTTAAGTCAAATCAAATTATATTTTCATAATGTTTATCAAATTATATGTTTATTTCTAAACAATATTAGAAAATAAACTGTAACTGATAAATTTTTGGATGTTCATGAACATATATATTTTTATTATTTTGAAAATATATTTTATGTTATTTAAATATATATTAGTGGGGTATTACTATTTTGTGAACTTTCCTTTTTAATAAAGTCATAGTATATAAATAAAATTTCGTTTTTAAATTAGTTTTAAAACTTTAGAAATATTTCCTTTTTATTATATATGTTATTTGGAAAAATGTAAAAAAGAAATTACAAAAAAAATTAATAATAATCTTAAAATCTAATAATTCATTAAGAGTATCTATCTAATCAACCATCGCGAGAGTTAACGTGATTGCGACACGTAGGAAACTGACTTCTCAAATAATATTATAAAATTAAATATATTATTATTATAAATTATATGTTCTTATTGTAGTTAGATGTTTAATTTGGATATAAATTAGATTAGTCGTGTCATTCATTTTGTGAGTATATTGAGTTAAATATATTTTTAAATTAAAATTGAAATATAATTACTTTTTATTTTAGTTAAGTCCAATCAAATTAGTTTTATGTATTGCTTAAATATACATGTATTTTCATAATATTTATTTACTCTTTATTTTAGTTAAGTCAATTCAAATTATATTTTCATAATATTTGTCAAATTATATGTTGATTTTTAAACATTATTAAAAAATAAAGTGTAACTGATAAATTTTTGAATGTTCACGAACATATATATTTTTATTATTTTGAAAATATATTTTATGTTATTTAAAATATATATTAGTGGGGTATTACTATTTTGTGAACTTTCCTTTTTAATAAAGTCATGTTATAAATAAAATTTCGTTTTTAAATTTATTTTAAAATTTTAGAAATATTTCCTTTTTATTATATATGTTATTTGGAAAAATGTAAAAAATAAATTACAAAAAAAATTAATAATAATCTTAAAATCTAACAATTCATTAAGGGTATCTATGTAATCAACCATCGCGAGAGTTAATGTGAGCGCGACACGTAGGAAACTGACTTCTCAAATAATATTATAGAGATAACTCAACCCACTAATAAAAAAAAAAAAAAAAAAACTCAACCCACTAAACAGGGATAAGAGTTGACGACACGGGTTAATTTATTCAAAAACATGTGTTCTTGCTGAGCCTTAATTCTATGTGCCAAAAATGACTGAAAGCTTTGGTGGTCATCAGAAAACAACCGTCAATCTGAAACACCAGCTTATCAAAACGATTGACAAACTTCCAGATTCAACATGTTTGTCTCTCTGTTTGTGTCTTATTTATTTGATGTTAAGCTTTTACCCTTTTACTATAAGGGGAAACAAAACATGTTCTGAGAACTAATTTATGTGAATATGTGATGATGATTTATCAAATCCAGTGTTATGCTTAACTAATTATGCGTCTGATCAAGAAAAAAATTGTCAAAAAAAAAACTTCCAGATTCAACCTCTACTTCGATGATGCGACTTGGACGCTCATTCCTCCTTTCTAACTTAGGGATAGACATTTTATCCGATACCCGAATTCGTATCCGAACCAACCCAAAATATCTAAACGGAAATTCGAATTAAAATAATAAAATATCCGAACGGGTATTAAATTATGAGAGATTGGATATTTGAACCCGAACGGGTAATACCCGAATTCAAATAAATATCCGAAGATAACCGAACACATATATATATATATATACACATATTTTATTCCTAGTTAATTTATCTCATTTTATTCAAAATATTTATACTAATATACCCATCTCTTTAATTTTAAAGAGAAATTGCTTAAAATATCATAAGTTAGTTATCTCTTTTCAAAAGTACTTTCGATCAAAAATACATTAACAATTAAGTTTATGAATGATGTTAGATTTTTAAATTTTATAAATGATTATTAAACATTTATAAATGATTTAATAGAGTATGTATTGTCTTTTTCATCTCAAATTTAAGGTATTTTGAAAATGGTCATCTCTTAGGTCAATTTGAAAATTGATAACAAGTTTTTGATAAAATTAAAATTTCCTCCATTTTAATGATATTTTAAAATTTTATATTTTTCAGTTTAAATAATATTTTCAAAATACAAAATAATGTTGTTTGATGTTTGACTATTTGTATTATATTGTATGATTTTTATTGGTTGAATTAGATTTAGCTAATGTAAAAACGAAACAAAACAAATAAAATTTAACAATTTTTAATTGGCATGCAAAAACCTTAAACACTAAATAAATTGAAACCTAAGAGTAGTAGAACTTCCAGTATGTGGGTTTAACTCTAACATAAAATTAATCATTTAGGTTTTTTATTAAATCTTTTGAGAGGATGATCTTTACGTTTTAAATAAATATGTCTAGATGTATCCTGAATGATTATAATTATGAATAGACAAATTGTTTTATATTATATTGAAGAGCTGCAAGCATATATTTAATTTTTTATTATAAGATTTGGTTAAAAATATATAATAAGTTATGTTTTATATATAACATATTCATTGAGGGAGGAGTGTGACCACCTGATTGAATTACATCATTGCTTCTGTCACTTGTAGGGGAAGAAAAATTTATTGCGGGATAAGTTATGTTGTATGTTTTAGTGTACAAATGTACAATAAGGGTCTGACTGCATATCATATGGGCGATATATTTTTGGTGGAAAACATATTTACTCGCACTTCAGTTAAATATTAAATCAATCAGGTTGAAAATTTCTCACCTATTTTTATATCTATAACTATTTAAATAGAATAAATTTGGTTATTTTATCCCTCGTGTTCCACGAATAGAAAATATACTGCGCTCAATTTGATATTTTTTCTCTTTTTTTTTTTATTATATTTATTTATTTTATTTATATTATTCTTAATTTTTCTACAATCACATTCTAAGACTAGTTAAATAAAGTGTTCTTGAAATTGTGAAGGACATATATAAAAATTAGGGATTAATTATTTAATTTGTGATGTTGATGTCTCTTGAATGATTTGAGTAGTTGATTTTAAATTCTTGAAGCTCAACCAAATCTCAATAATGTCTTGTCTTGTTCTGTTTGGTTTACAAAGTTCTCGGCTCAGCAATTGTGGTGATATGCATTTTCATAATATTTTAAACAGTCACCAATTAGGTTTGATTGGAGGTTGATGATTTTGTTTGAAGTATTAACATTGATTAGTATTGAAGTTATTTTGCAACTATATGAATTCCTAAATATTTAATTTTTAAATTAAGAGAAACTAGAATTCTGTGATTTGTAAACGGACACAAACTTGTTTTTGACAAAACAAGACGATAACACAATCATGCATATATTAAACGTTACTTCATAACTAACACCGAAAAGAGTTTGAAAGCAAAAGAAAAGAAAAAAACTTGCAAAAAGAAAAACTACATATATACTATTTAGTGTAATTACTAATTAGGCTAACAATTCTCACTTATTATTGGGAAAATTTCATTGAAAAAATGACTAAAATAGTAGTAAAATTTTTTTTGTCACAAATATAACACTTAAAAATAAAAATGACCAAAATAGCATTTAATGTTTTATCAAAAGAGATAAATATATACTTATATTCCAATGATAAATTAATTTAGACATTAGGGTTTAGGGTTAAGGGATGGGATTTAGGGTTTATGGTTTAGAGTTTAGGATTTAGAGTTTAGAATTTAGGTTTTAGAGTTTAGAGTTGGGGAGTGGGGTTTTGGAGATAAGATTTCAATTTTTGAAAAATAAAAAAATTTTAAAATTTTTCAAAAGATAAAATGGTATTTTGGTCATTTTTAGTTTTTGAGGGCTATTTTTGTGATATACACTTAGAAATGTGTTATTTTAGAGATTTGTCCATTTTCATTTTTACCTTTCATTTAATACCATTATTCATGTTTACCATTTTTTAAATGGTTATTTTCAAAAATACCTAAGTATGAAAGAGATATTTATACTCTTGATTTATAAATAAAAATAATTATTGAAATACATAAAAAATAACTTTTTTAAAAATTTTTCGAATTTTAACTTTTCAAATTCGATTTTTTTTTTTTAAAATTTGTTTTTCAGAAATTATTTTTCAAATTTGAAAATACTTTCTGAAACTATTTTAAATTTTTATTTATTTTAATTTTAAGTATTAATCGAATTTTAAATTTCAAATTCAAAAATTTTATTTTATTTTTTTTGAATTTCTTTTAAAATTTTTTTCCAGATATTCTTGTTCAAATTCGAAAATATCTTTTGAAACTATTTCTAAATTTTTATTTTAAATACTTATTTATTTTTTTATTAAAATTCTAAATTTTGCTCTCCAAATTTTGCCCTTCAAATTTAATTCCTAAGTCTAGATTAGTCAACTCAAAGATTATAAGCGTCTGTTTAACTTTTTATAACCAAAGATAAATATGATCAAATTAAAGATTAAAAATGGTAATGAAAAATGTTAGTTTAGATAATTTCCCTTTATTTTATTTGTTAGCCAGCCATTTGATCAATGTGGTCCTGTTGGCTGTTGCATTTTTGATGGACCACAAGTTATTCGATCTCACTGAGAGGGGACCATCTATTTAGATTTGACAATGTAGATTTTCTCTTAAAATATAAAACATATGTTTTATTGGTTTACACTATATGTCCGTACACTCGCTATATAATTATGCAATACCTGTTTTTTCTTTATCACCTCCATGACCATGAATCATCCTTACGATGATTTCCCTAATCTCTTCTTCTCTAACAACACTGCCACAGCCACAAGCACATCCTCCTGCGTGGAGCAACATGATGGCATCTCTCTTGATATGGATTGGGATATTGACTTCCACGATCTCATTGAATCTATGATGAGTGATAAAGGAGCCACGACAGAATCTCCTCCAATGCTGTCTTATCACCATGGCCAAGAGGGAATTTTTAACTCTTCACCCACGGGGTTTTCCATGGCTGATGAGCTTGATGATGATGTAGAGACAGGTGAATCAAAGGGCTTGAAGTTGGTTCACTTACTGGTGGCTGCTGCAGAGGCATCAATTGGCGCCAACAAATCCCGAGAGCTATCTCGGGTCTTACTTGCAAAGCTAAAGGACATGACTTCCCCCAATGACCAAACCAACATGGAGAGATTAGCTGCTCACTTCACCAATGGCCTCTCAAAATTGCACAAGGGAGCTAATGTTCAACGGCAGTACGGTCCCCACCAACACCCTGATGTTCATGACCAGGTGGATGTGATCTTAGCGTTCCAAATGCTGCAGAATATGTCTCCTTACATTAACTTTGGTTACCTAACCGCCACACAGGCTATTCTTGAAGCTGTAAAGTATGAGAGGCGGATCCATATTGTGGACAACAATATCACCGATGGTGTTCAATGGCCCTCCTTGATGCAGGCCTTGGTGTCTAAAAATAGAGGTCTTTCGGCCCAACATCTTCGGATCACGGCTTTGTCACGTGCCACAAACGGTAAAAAATCAGTTGCTGCTGTCCAAGAGGCTGGGCGGCGTCTAACCGCGTTCGCGGAATCCATAGGGCAGCCTTTTTCTTACCACCATTGTAGAATGGACAGCGACACATTCAACCCTTCTTCGTTAAAACTTGTCAGAGGAGAAGCAGTGGTGATCAATTGTATGTTGCATCTCCCTCAGTTTAGTAACCAACCACCCAATTCCATTATTTCCTTTTTATCGGAAGCTAAAACACTAAACCCGAAACTTGTAACACTTGTTCACGAAGAAGTTGGTCTAGTGGGAAACCAAGGCTTCCTTTACCGGTTTATGGACTTGTTACATCAGTTTTCAGCCATATTCGACTCTCTAGAGGCAGGCCCAGCTCGTGGATTTGTTGAGCGTGTTATTTTTGGACCCTGGATTTTGGGTTGGTTGGCACGTGTAGCAATTAGTGCTGATGATGCAGAAGTTGAGAGTGTTGCTTCATGGCCGATGTGGTTAGCTACTAATGGGTTTAAACCAGTGGAAGTCAGCTTTGCCAACCGTTGCCAAGCGAAGCTCTTTTTGAGTTTGTTTAACGATGGGTATGAAGTGGAAGAATTAGGCCAAAACGGGCTCGTTTTGGGATGGAAATCTCGACGTCTTGTGTCGGCCTCTTTTTGGGCCTCGTGCGAGTCGAGTGAATAAAATTCTATATATAATACATACATGAGTGATATATGAAGGCATCAATTATGTAAATATCAAAAATCTTCTTCTTTTTTGTCGTCAATACTTATATTAGATTAGGCCATGGATCAATATAAGTACATGTTATTTTTAAACCCATTACAACATTTATATATAGCCAACCCACTAAACATAGATAAGATCAATATCTGAATATCAACTGAGGACACTTGTTAATTTATTGAAAAACATGTGTTCATGCTGCGCCTTCTATATGCCAATAATGTGTGAAAGCTTTGGTGGTTATTTGAAAACAATCTGAAACATCACCTTATCAAAACGGTTGACAAACTTCCAGATTCAACCTCTACTTCGATGATGCTACTTGGACGCTCATTCCTCCTTTTTTAACCGATGAATAAATTCATTTTTTAAGATTTGATCTAGTAAAAGGTGATTGTTATATCAAATAAATTTATTTAGGCTCTAATTGGTGACTATTAAAATAGGAATAGGAATGAGTAGGAAATTAATAAGTAGAAATAAAATAAAAGGAATGTAAAGGAATATTTATTATTTTGGTTCCATATCAATTTTGATAAGGAATATTTTTGTTCTATAATTCCTTAAAATTCAAGGAATAACAAGGAATCATACACATGAAATATTCCTTATGAATTGTGTTTTTTTTAAGGAATAGGTAGGAGGAATTGGTTATTCTCCTTCGTTCCTTATGTTACCATTTATACCTTTAGTATGATGGTAACATATTGATCAAAAACTATTTATATAGTGTCACTTGCTGCTTCTACATTTTCTGTAAGCATAAATACAGTAAATCGAAAGATGCTAAAATGATTGCAACAACGATTTGCTTTTTAAAATTCGTCGCTAATATCAGCACATAAACAATACTATTCGATGGATAAAAGTCTTCACTAATATCATCACATAAACAATACTATTTGATGCATAGAAATCTGTACTCATGCAGTTAACATTATACATATAAACAGCCCCGCCTAGGAGATAGGCAAAAGAAACCATTGTTTAGGGTCCGAAATTTTTTTGTGACTTTTTAGGTTTAAACAAAAAAATAAAAATAAATTTTTATAAAGAGAAAAAGATCCATTTTTTGAATTCGAATGGAACCTTAGATAACTATGAGCCAGCCCTACATATAAATTACCCCTAAATTATTTGATACCATGGTAATTATAATACTTCCTCTATTCCTAAAAGATTCATGTTTTGGAAAAATATTTTGTTTCAAAAAGATGTATATTCTATGTTTCCTATGAGAAAATTACAAGTTTCAAAAAAAATAATTGATTTTATTAGATTACTATTGGCTAAAAGTTATTAAAATTGCAAATTACTGAAAAGATAGTGATTTAATGTGTTTTCTTAATATGTGTGAAAACACTAAAAAATCTATCTTTTAGAAATAGAGGGAGTATGAGTTAGACTTCAACATCCCTTGTAGTTTACATGCTTAATGAGAAAAAAATAGCAAACACAATATGTAGATTAATAAATATGTCTGATATAGTCTTATATGTGGGGATTATATGAAATTACGTGTTCCATGTTTCGAAGCGAGGTATCAATTATATTTCGATCTATTGACAATCTCATCTCATAAACATTATTTATGAAGTGATTTCACAAATATGAATTTTATAATCATTTTCACTAAAAAATGTTACATAACATATTAGAATTAATGATATGATTTATGGTTAAATGTGACATAGACTATTACATTTAGTGTTAACTTTAATTTTTAGTAAACTTCTGAGAATATAATAAATAACTCATAAATCATTAATAAAATAAATCTATTCAAAAAAGTAAAAGATAATTTGTATCATATCTATTATACTTAATCGATATATAATGATAGAAATTGAAAACTATCTCAATGTTTTGGCCACTATTGGTAAGAATAGGATTATGTACAATGCTTTGTATATTCAACATCCTATTTTTTATATTTTAACATTCCACATCATTTTATTTTTCTTCCACCTAAAGCCATGTATAATGGTGTTTGTTTTTAACGTCTAACTTTTTATCTTTTCATAATCCACATCATATTTTTTCCAATCATATTTATCATATTTAAGTTTTACATCTTATAATACTTTTTGTTTAAAAAATTCATAAAACTTTAGTTTTAACATTTCATTATATATTCATATCAAATACAAAATTTATAGAGTATAAGAAATGACAAATTTGGTATATAAAGATTTATAAAATAAATTAATTTATTATAGAAATATTTTAAATAAGTATGAAAAATTAAAAGTAAGCAAAATTGTAGTAGCTAGTAATAATATGCCACATGCCATTAGTGGTCCACTTAATTTATTCAATCAACAGGTTGAAAGAATTCAAACTGAGTTTAATTCACATAAGTTTTATTATTTTTCTACATACTTTTAACACCCTCATGGTATTATTTCAACTTTTGAATAATTTATTCAACAGCTTTATAGTATCTAGTCTAATAATTCATCATACATTTTACTTTTATATTATACAATAGCTTTGTTTATTAAAACTCAACATTTTATCACATGATTGTAAAAAAAAAATCTAAAATTAAATTTATTAAAAACTAATAAAATATAGTAAATATTTTTTTATCCTAACCAAATTAAACAAAAATCTATTTATAAAGTATGAAAATTAATAATTTTTTTTGTATAAAATAAAATAAAAATAAATTTGTTTACTATAAACTTTTTTAATTCAATTAATAAGATGAAAGGAAAATATGAAATATCAGTAGCCAATTATCAACTACCATTTTTCATTGTCTCTCTCTTCTTTCCTAGTTTCAGCAGTTAAATTTATACAATTCAACTAAATCTATCTCATTTTCAACCATTTATTCATCATCTCATTGAAGCAGTTCAACTATTGAAATTTGTTTTCATCAGTTTCATTGTAAACAACTTCATTGATTGAAGATACACAAATATCACACTCTGTTTTATTCAAACTATAACTTTATAACAAGTAAACACAATACGTCAAAAAGATTTTATTTTTATTTTTTTGACAAAATGAATAGATATGGTAAAAAATATCTTTCACTTTTTCCTAGAAGCATTAATGAAAAAATTATTGATAAAAAGATTCTAACATCAGTTTTTTTTTTTTGTTGAAGTGGAAATTTGGATTCATCTCACAAGGAAAAACAGAGTATACCTAACATATACAATTACTAATATAGCTAATTTTTAAAATATATCTCTATTATTAACATAGAAATGCAATTATAAAATACTCCTGAGTTTTCCTAATTATTTACAATGTTATGCCACTGAAGTTATTAATTACATGCTTTGTAGGATTTTTTTTTGTCTTTTCTCTTTAATTAATGCATTTCCAAAATCAAATTCTAACTAAAAAATCATGGCAAAAATAAATAATTTCATATATACATTTCGTAATTAAATACATAAATTATATGGTAATTATTTTACTAATTCCATATACATAATAATTAATTCCATATTAACCTACCTTTTAGGATTTTTTTTATTAATTATCTACCTATCTTTAAATAATTAATGAAAAATATTGTTTTCAAAGATATATAATTATATTTTTATTATTTATAAGTAAGAACTAAAATAAAATTCACAAAAATAAATATTTATATAAGACATAGATTAATATAAATATAATATGTTACGTATATTTTCATATAAATAATAGTCCAAGGTAAATTCAGTATAATAAATGTTAAAAAGTATAAATATATAGGACCATGCATTTTAAATAGTATATATAAAAAATTTAGTTATACATTATAAAATTTTGATCCATAAAAATAAAAATATATTTGTGCAGATATACAGGTTATATTTTAAAAATAAGGATGATACAATTCTTGGTTTACAAGATAAAATAAAATTACTTATTATAAAATATAAAATTTTGTGTTTAAATTTTTTTTTAAACAATTATTTAAATGGGTGAATTTAAAATATATATTATCACTTATAAAAATATAAAAACAAATACCTTCGCAGATGTGCGGGACAAACAACAAACCTTTCGGTCTTCTTCTGTCAAAATTAAACCCATAAATAATTTGTAATCATTTACACTTAATTGATACTTTCGTTTTATCATTTTAAAAATTTCAATCAAAATGTTTTATATATTATTTTTTTTATAGAATTTGAACATCTGACTTTTTTCTTAGAAATGTTATAACTAATTTATCATTTTTTATGTATACCATACTAACTCTTACTTCTCAAGATCTGATGTATCTTTAATTGAAAAATATTTTCAATATATCGTATACATGTTAGATTTGTTTATATGATACCAAATATTTGTGATACAATAAATTGTTAACACACACAAAAAAATTCTTTATGTCATACGATTATTTTTTACAAAAACATCATTTAGTACAAAAAAATTAAAAAGATAAAACTAATACCCGTGTAGTCGCACGAGACAAAGTCTAGTAATATAATTAAAATAAATTAATTACCCAGCAAATAGAGCTACCTGATTATCTTAGATAATTTTAAAACAGATATAAAATGAATGAAAAGTAATTTCCTTAAATCTATATAAGTTTTAGAATAAAAACATTAATTCTTAGAAAATAGATTATATGTTCATCTACTCCATTTTATGAATTTTAGTGGATTTAAAAAATGAATGAAAACTAATTAATTCTTAGAAAATAGATTATATGTTCATCTACTCCATTTTATGAATTTTAGTGGATTTAAAAAATTAAGTGATATAGGCTACAATATTAATAAAATTTAAAATTTTGAGTAAAAATTTCACCCATATTAAGCAAAACATAGCAATTTGTATTGTTAATGTATTATTTTGTAATTAATATTTCCCACAGTTAATACCTAATAAAATGCAACAAAATTGTTCAAAAAATTGTTTTTTAATTTAATAGTTTATAATTATCACTTAATAAACATATATTAAAAATGTTTAATGTATCTTTTGAAACAATGTTTTGAAAAATATGTAAATAGAGAGAGTATTAAGTAACCGAAAACATAAGCAAGAGAATATTGATCACATGGATAATATCCTAATATATAAGAAACATGAG